GGTGGGTCGGCTCGACCCGCCGCCTGGGCTGTGCGAGAGAGAGCGACTGTGCACGGGTCTTGGCGAAGCGGCAGCGGTCTGGCCATCCCCCCCTGCCAAATGTTGTCAAACTGTTCCGGGACGGTCCCCGTCACCGTCCGGCAGTGTCGCTGGCGGCCCGGCGAGCGGCGTTGAGGTGCGCGCTTGCCTGGACGAAGCGAGCACATCATGCGTCTCTCTCGCTCTCAAGGCGGACCTATGGGAGAGACAAGGACGGCTGCGGCCGAGCGGCGCGCTGCCGAGCCTAGCGCGCTGCGGACACGGCTCCGCAGCAGACGTCGAGCCTGTGCGGGGACCCGGGTGGAGAGTCTACCCGCTCCTAGAGCTGGGTCGGGTCCGGACCCGACCCGTGCACACCCAGCCGGGCCGGGTCGTGGAACCATGGCCAAGAGCGCAAGACGGCGGCGGGTCGAGAAAACCCACCCATTGCAGAACTCTGCGCCCGCCCCACCGCGCCGTCCGCGAATAGTCCCTGACCCTGACGGCGCCTGCGGCTGCTACACTGCAAAGCTTTGCCCGCAGATGCCCCGCGGATTAGAGGGCCGATTCGGGGGCAGGGGCCGCGTCGCCCCAGTCTCGAGGATCGGCTCGGCGCCCACAGTGGCGGCCACAGTGGCGGCCACACTCAATTTCCGACTGCCGTCGCCGCCTGCAGACTGCGTGGGAGGGAGGTCTCTCTCCCACTTGTGGAGCGCTCCGAACCTGCTAGAGCGAGATAGATAGGCGGTCTTGGCCCGTCTTGCCTGCCTGGCTAGGTGTCCGAGGCTGCGCCCTAGGCGGCCGGGCCCCCCGTCGGTCCCCCCGTCGCACAGTGGGCCAGAAGATCGGTGGAGGCGGTCAAAACCCCGGACGCGTTTTGAGCTCCAGAGTCGCTAAATGGGACTCGAACCGAACATGTGACCCCACCAATGGATTGCTCTCCGAACGAGGAATCGATTGGTGGGGCCATACGTTCAGTTCGGACCCTATTTAGCGACTCTGGAGCTCAAAACGCGTCTAGAGTTTTGGCCGCCTCCACCAGTCTTCTGGCCCACTGTGCGTCGGTCGCGTGCTGCCTGCTGCCTGCGCGGCCGCGCGCTGCTTTCCAAGTCCAAGGACTCCGGGAACCCCGGGCAGCCGGAAGGCGGCGGCGTCATTCCGGTCGGCCGGGGCCAGCGAGGTGTCTGTCTCTCTCGCACTCACGGCGCGTCCCGGAAGGGTGCGAGAGGGACAGAGCGACGGCAGGCGGCTGCCGGTCCCTTTCCGACGGTCATCAGCTCCATCGAGAGGCGAAGGCGGTAACGACTAACGACTCACGTCCTGCGCCGCCACTGTGTACAGGACGTTGTACGGGGCGCGGCGCGGGCCGTTGTCCAGGACGTTGTCCAGGACGTTGTCCGGGACGCGGTGCAAGCCGGCTGCCAATTGGACAATTGTTTCCAGCAGCCCGCCCTCGGCCCGGCCTAGAGAGCCGATCCGAACCAGGGTGTTGCGGGGCGCAAGCGCTAGCCAGGCCAGGCCTTGTGTCACCGTCGGGGCGGCAATAAAGTCATAAGGAAACGTGAGGTCGTTGGGCAAGGGGGAGGGGGCGGCGCTCTGGGAACCACTGGGAACAGTGTCTCCGTGTCGCCACGAGGATCAACGACGAAGTGCAGGCAGCGCGCCGCAGCCAGCCTTCCGTTTTGCAACGCCGAAAACGGCAGAATGGGGCGCGGTGGCCAAGCAGAGCGTCAAGCAGAGCGTCAAGCAGCCTCGGTGGTCGTTAACTCTGAAAGTGCTGCACGGGCGGCGGTGGCGTGCGTGCCGCCCCCTCCTCCGCCCCCGCGCTCCAGAAGGGCCCCTCCTTGCTCCTGGCCCGTAAAACCGTTTCGTTTTCACACTTGGCAAATTATCATCGTGCCTCGCCGCCGCCAGACAGAGAAAGGCCCCGGCACCGTAACCCTGGCGGCGTCGTCGGCGTGGTCGGGGATCCGGGCAGTGCCCGAGGCAGTGCCCCCCACCCGCCCCCGGGTTGCGTGCTGCCTGGCGCCTCGCCTGCCTCGCGGTCCAGGGTTCAGTGTCGCGGCCTGCTTGGCGTCGAGCAGGGCCGTCTCAGCGTGGCGGCCGCAAGCCGCCGGGGTCGCGAACGGACGCCGCGGAAGCTCTTTTTAGCATAATATTTCGCATGTCCATCCCGAGCGCAGAGGCGGAGAGGGGCGGCGAGCCTTACCGGCGGCGGCCTTGGGGCGGGCGGCGCGGCCGGCAGCCATGAAGCGAATTAACGCGCTTTTTCTTGTTGTCTCTCTCTGTCTCTTTGTCCAGGCGAGTGTAGCAGCACCTGCTGTGTGGCGCGCTGGCGGCTGCGAGGGGGTAAACACTTCAAGAAATCGTGTACAGACTACTCGGTATTACGCTGTATTACGGTGTATTACACGTGTTTTACGGCCTTAAAATGCCAAAATTTGGCACATTTGACCCAAAAATGGTATTACGATCACGTGTATTACGCGTAATACACGGTTTTGGTGTACAGGGTATTACGCGAGTGGTTACCCCCTCGGGCGGCTGGCTGTTCGACTCGCAGTGCGGTGCCGGCCTCTGAACGGAGGCCGGCGAAGGCACGACACCAAGTGCCCTCAGAGGGCTCTCCTTTTTCCGCACCCGGCGAGAGGAAGAGGGGAACTGCGGCCGTTCTTGGCTTTACGGCCTTAATCAGTGGAGGCACCTGGAAGGCCTGGAAGGCAGCCTCGCGCGCCTCCGTTCCTTCTCCTTCTTCCCTCGCGGGCACACTCGCAGCCCCAGGCACGCCCCCACGTAAAGGGGACGCGTACGGCGCAAGAGATCTACCGCCACATCTCCATGCCATCGCGGGATGTGGCTATCTCTCTCTCTCTCTGGTTGTCGCGATGAATAATGTGAGCCACCTCCTTGGGCCGCCGCCAGCAGGAGGGCCTTTATGATTGGGAGAGCAGTGTTGCTCACACCTGCAGTCGTGTTCCCGAACCACGCGCTCGCGCCCTGTCTCTCTCGCACTCGGGACTCGAACCGAACAACCCCACCAATGGATTGCTCTCCGAACGAGGAATCCATTGGTGGGGTTACACGTTCGGTTCGAGGCCTGTTTAGCGACTAGGAGCTCAAAACGCGTGCAGAGTTTTGGCCGCCTCCACCGGTCTTCTGGCCCACTGCGTGGCGCTGAGAGTCCCTGGCGCGCGGAGTAGATCGATTACTCTTCGCTAGTTGTACTCAGGCCACGTCGGGGCAGTCGGGACCGCGACACGTGTGCTTCGTGCTCGGCCGCTTCCGCGCCAAACCTCCCGCGGACAAGTGTGTGACAAGTGTGTGACAGCCGTGACGACCGTGCGACCGGTATTGTCGTTGCCATGGTGACCGCGGAGGCGCACCGTGTCTACGGTGTCCACGGTGACAGTGTCGCACGTACGACGTGCCGAGGGGGCGTGGCTGGGCGTGGCGTGGCGGCAGTGTGGTCGCGGACTCGGAAGACGTGGCCGAGCGAGCGAGCTAGAGCGCACCAGCAGACTGGTTCCGAGAGTCGTTTCCATGGCCCTGTCTCTCTCGCCCCCGTGTGGCGTCCCGTGTAGGTGCGAGAGAGACGGAGCGACGAAAGCGACTCTCGGCAGCAGTCTGCAGACGGTCCGCGGCCAGTGAAACCGAAGCTTGGCGCGCTGCCCGGCAACACCACCGTCGAGTACCCGGGGCCCACACCCACCTGGGACAGGCACTGCTTCACCGCGAGGCAGCCATGAAGCCATCTCACGGCGCCTGCGTCACTTTACGTAAAACGAGCACTCTCCCATGCGGTAGAAATGAATGAAAATGGTGATTCCCGGACGGCCCCGCGGGTTTCCAGGGTTGGCCGCGCTGGTAATCAGGACGTGCGAGGCGAGGGCGCCCGGTTTGGCGGTCTGGCGGCGACTTGGGCTGTTTTGGCGTATCTCGCAGTGGCGTGCACTTTTGGGTACGCCGCCCGGGCCCGGGCCTGGGCCGTCGCCTTGGTCGCGACTTGGCGACGCATTTGCCTGCCGGCCCGGCAGACCTGCACGCTGATTCCGAGAGTCGTTTTCGTCGCACTGTCTCACTCGCGCCAGTACGGGGCGCCCCATGAGTGCGAGAGAGACAGAGTGCCGGGTGCCTGCCCTACCGCAACGACTCGGCCGATAAGGGGCCGGCCCTAAGCGCGCCGGCGCGGCGGGGGCTGCGCGGCCTCGCGCTCTGTCACTCCCCCGCGATGTCTATTTCGGGGCTGGCGGCGTCGGAACTAGGGCGGGGCGGGCTGACCGCGCCGCGTCGCCGAGAGGGGTCTCGATGTCGCCGTTTGGAGCCGGTCCCCGCGGTCCCCGCGGTCCCCGCGGTCCCCGCGGTCCCCGCGGTCCCCGCGCAAGACAGGTTTCCGTCGGTGAGTCAGTGCACCGCCTCCCTGGCCGCGGGGCGCCGGCGACGGGATCCCCCCAGCGGGTACTTACGCGTGTTTGCCCGCCGCGTGGTTTACCCACGACGATGACAACGCGATGGCATCGCCATTCGATGCGGATCGACGGCGACCTACATCAACGCGCCCCGCCAACGAGACGAACGAGACCCGCTACGCGCCCCTCCCCCTCCCCCGCGTCCCCGATTAGACTCCCTTGCAAGTCGCCGTGCGCCAAGCGGCCAAGCCGCGCCGTGACCCTGAGCAAGGTCGCCTGCACTGCGCCGCACTACGCACCGAGTGCAGCGCGGACCGCTTCTCGGCCTACTCGGCCACGCCTGCGGCGCCGCCAGACCCGGCCCGACCCCCGCGGACCCGACGCCAGCCGGATGGGCTGCCTAAGCGCTAGGCGCGTGAGACGCGCACCACCGCTGCAGACTGACTCCGAGAGTCGTTTTCGTCGCGCTGTCTCTCTCGCACCTGTACGGCACTCCCCATGAGTGCGAGAGAGACAGAGGGACGTCAGTGTGTGTTTTGGACGCCGTCTGATCCCCGTCTTGTTCGTGTGTTGCAGCGAGTCACAGCCACTCCCACGGCGGCGGCCACGGCGGCCACCAGCACGACCACCACGACCACGACGACGACCCCCTCCAAGCATCGACGGCCGTCCCCGCCGCGGCCGCCCGGGCCGCCATGCACGTGGCCGAGGCCCTGACGGCCAGGATAGCGAGCTGAGGTGGAGCCCGACGAGTTACAAGACCGCCTGTGATGTGAACCCGTGTGTGTGAGCGAGTGTGTTTGTGTGTATGAATGTGTGTGTAGGTATGTGTGTGAGTGTAAATGAAGCGCCGTGGTGGAGTCAAATGGCTGCCTTAATGTGGACTTTTAAAAGCAGTTAACTTTAGGGCCCTCCCTGTGCAGCTTTTTAATCTACTTGACTGAATTTGAACCGACGTGCGGCGCAAAGGCATTCCACGTCCGTTTTCGGACAGGGCCGAAATGGGGAACTATTATGCTTCAACAGGCCTCACGGGAGAACGACGATTAATTTCAGCGCTCTCTTACTTCCTCGATATTACTCTCTAAATGTCAGACTGAAAACGTCCACCCTTGACCATCCTCCTATTTAAACAAAAAACGATTTCAGGGTAGTGAGATAGTTGTTAGTACAACAACTGCTTAGTGGCAAATATACTCTAAGACTATAAGGCTTCTGTTTATAGGGGGAATAGAGCACTTTTGTGTGTTTTATACAAATCAACTATCGAAGTGTAAGAGTTACTCTTTTTTGAATTTGCTGTAGAAAAGAAGTGATATGTATGAAATGTTACCCGTTCATAAGTAAATTTCCCATTTTATTTGACTATAGTGTGCGTATAGGATTTGGGCCCACCACTTTTGCCAAATCAAAATAGCACAAGTCAGCATTTTGATAGCATGTGATTCGACTTATGACCTCAATGTGATTGCTTTAGAAATGATTAATTAAGTTTTTTAGATTTAAGAGAGCAGAATTTAAGACAGAAATGACAGAACTCGCTGCTTAAAAATGAATTATATTGAGTGAGAGAGAACCACAACGAACATTAAAGTGTGAGTTAGTCAGAGTTTAGATGAAATCATGACTCAACAGTTAGTTATTATGGTGTACAGTTGTCTTATGCGTGTATGTACAAATTAAACACATTTTCAGTATTCTCATAAAAGTTCTATCAAACTTTTATTCCTCAACCGTACCAACCATCATTTACATAATTTTTCACAGTAAAACTCGAAATACATTACTAAAACTGAATCAATGCCTAACAATATAAGATAAGGTTATCACAAAATTACATAAGTATAAAGTATGTGTTTATATAAGGACATTCTAAATCAGACTTCATGAAGGCTTTTCTCAAGAAACCCTGAGAACTTAATAGCTCAGTCGGAACCACATCAAGCCAGGACACACAGCGCATTTTCGTTAAGGAAAAGGCACTCGGAGCTAAGGAGCTCAAAAGATGTTCTTTTTATTGTGTCATCATCGTGATCTCCTCATATCACAGGCACAAAACACACAAAAGTGTCTAAGAGCGCTGCATAATGTACAAATGAAATCCATTAAATTAATTAAAATAAGGTAATACTAACACCGAACACTTCATTTTCAACTCCCTCCTTCTCAGACACAGAGATTCTAGTGTGCATTTAACAACCAATGCATTCTACCACAACCTCACGAAAGTCAGAAGTCGAAATCTCCGCGAAACAGCATTGTCTCCCACGAGTCTCGAGCTTACTATACCACAATATGGCACTATATATTACTTTTCCTCCCGCGAATGTAAAGTCTAGCTTTTGCAGTTGAGATCCTGAACCCTGCTTTCACCAAAGTAAACCTCACACCATGTCATCTGTTTTTGCGGTGGCACAACAATTAAATTTTAATGGGTGTGCAGCACGGTGTAGTTGCTGGCCTTGAGGATGTGTTCGCTGACATGGTCATGGTCATGATCATGGTCGTGGTGGTGCTCGTGGCCCCCTGCAAGAAGTGCGTGGATTAGTATGGAAAAACGTCATACGTTAAAAAAAAATAGAACAGCTCCGGGGGAAGTCCTTACCGATGAACATCATGCCGAACATGACGAGGAAGCCGACGAGGACTGCCAGGTACTGGCGAATTCCAGAGTGGCCGCCCGCGCGCTGTCGCTCCAGGATCTCGAAGAAGACGACGTAGAGGAGGGTGCCGGTGGCCAGACCCTGCAGTAACGTGGGCACCACGCCGCCCTCCACGTTGGTGTAGCTGCAACCGAACGTTTGATAGTAATTCGCGTGTCGTGAATCGAATTTCCAACGCCGCAAAGGACAAAGCGAATGACTCACTTCTCGGTGACCAGGATGCCGACGCCGATGCCGAGGGGCGACACGACGGCGAACGTGAAGACGTACAGGACGTGCAGCATGGTCCTGGTGCGCATGGCGACGAGCTCGACGCCGATGCAGAAGGCGATGACCAGCTTGTGGCAGGCGACGGCCACCAGCATGTACCACACGTTGCTGGCCGAGCCCTCCAGGCCGACGGCCAGCCCCTCGAACAGCTCGTGCACGGACAGGGCCAGCACGATGAGCAGGCCGCGGATGGCCACCACCACGGCGTCCTCGTCGGGGTCCACGTCGCCCTCGGCCACGGGCACGGCGTGGGAGTGGTTGTTGGCGCCCGCCATGAAGTCGGGCATGGCGGCGTCCATCTCCAGCTCGTGGTGCGCCTTGTGGCACGTCATGGAGTGCAGGCGCGGCACGCCCTTGCAGCACGGCCGCTCCGCGTCCACGCGCAGGAACTGCTTCTCGGCGGCCGGGCTGGCGTGCAGCCCCCACGGCGTGGCGAAGGTCACCGCCGACACCAGGTACTCGTTGGGCACCTGCGGACGACAAGGTATCGTGAGTCACTCCGCTCCACTGCGAAAACCGTCTTGTTTTTCGACCGCCGCATTGTTTTGCCGTCGCTCTTTCTTCGGCGTGCCCTATCCGCACGACGCACGCGACTCGGCGCGGCCTGCCCGTTCAACGTGACAAGTTTCGGAAGCATTTTCGGCACGTGCTCTGTCTGCTGCAGCCGCCGCGCGCCGCCCAGACCGAGGCCCAGACAGGGGTACACAATGGGACGCGGCGCGCGACCTCGACGAGCACACCTGTGACGTGCGGGGGCGCGGCGGCGGCGCGGCGGCGACGCGGCGCGGCCGGACTGGCCCGGACATGTCGTCGTCGGCGACCCCCAGACGGGTCTCGCCCAGCATCCGGCGCGGGGAAGTCCCTCGAGGCACAGCCGGCAGCGCGCTGTGACGCTGTGACAGTGGCCCTCAGTGCTCACCTCAGACTTGACTTCCGAGCCGTCGGCGTACTCTAGGACGACGGTGGACGGCTTGCAGTCCCGGGAGCGCCACTTGATGGACTTGATCGGGGACTTCTTGGCGTCCTCCACGTCGTAGGTCAGGCTGATGTTGGCGAGGTTGGAGTGCCCCTCTCCATGGCCATGTCCGTGGCCGTGGCTGTGGCCGTGGTCACCTGGGGGCAGAAAAAGGACCGCGTCAGCATAGCACGCCGGCGGGCTCCCACGAAGAGGTCGAAGCGCTCGAGTCCCTACCGTGGCCGTGGCTGTGGCCGTGGCTGTGGCCGTGCTTGCCGCTGCGCCAGTGCAGGTACATGTGCACGAGCTCCTCCACCAGGTACATGATGAAGAACCCGATGCACATGAGGAGGTACGGCGCGATGTCCGCGAAGGACTCGGGGAGGGTGCCGCCCTCCTCCAGCTCACCGAAGGCCTCCTGCACCTCGGGAAGCATGTGCAGGAACGTGGTGCACATGAGCACGCCGCCGCCGAAGCAGAGCAGCGAGGACAGCATGGCGCCGCCGTTCGCCGGGCTGCCGTGGCTGCGAACACAGTCAGAACGTGAAGCGCGCCGTCGTGGCCCCATCGAGCACGAGGAGGGCGTCGTGGACTTACCCATGGATGGCGTCGGCGGGGCCGTTGGCCGAGGCCTTGGCGTGCCGGTCCCAGCCCAGCCAGACGGCCAGCTTGAGCGGCGCCAGCCCCAGCGAGAGCGACGCCAGCCCCAGCACGGCCATCGCCGTCACCTTGGCGATGAGCGTGGGGTCGCCGCCGACGTCCAGGGCGGCCGGCAGCGGCGTCGTCGCCGTGCCGGTCCAGCTGCCATTGTGTGCAGCGACGCTGCGGAGATAAAAAGACCCGGTTAGCTTCAGCGCCCTACACTGCAGCGGGGCGCCGCACGCACCGCCCGTTGTACAGTAGCTCAACCAGATTAGGCGTACTGCTGCGTCACAGAGTCAAAACAGCGCGAATCCTGGAGGTGGTAAAGAAGCGTTTTGAGCTCCAAAGTCACTAAATGGGACTCAAACCAAACGTGTGACCCCGCCAATGGATTGCTCTCCGAACGAGGAATCCATTGGTGGGGTCGCACGCTCGGTTTAAGTACTGTTTAGCGACTCTGGAGCTCAAAACGCGTCTAGAGTTTTGGCCGCCGGCGCCGGTCTTCTGGCCCACTGTGCGGCACCCCGGCGGCACGCAAGTCATGCCGCACGTACGTTGGCGGCCCCGGCGGCCCGGCGAGGCCCTTAAACGAGCTAAATTGCCGTCCCGTCCCGACCGGCCGACCGCAAGGCACAGCAAAGGGCCGAGCGGCACGGGCTGCACCGTGATCAAGGAGGGCCAGTCCCAGGGCCAGGCCGGCCAGGCCCCGCTTGGGACTGATTAAGGCACACTGCACTGCCCAGGCCTGGTCACTCCGAGGGAATTCCACACGTCGGTAGCTTTCTGGACAGCCCCCTGGAGCGCTCTGCACACTGCAATGCCACACGCCGGGCATTTCACGGAAGCGCAAACCCAAACGACAACCACAAAGCAGAAAGTCGCAACATTTCCGATGGGAGAGGACGTCGGTCCTACCTGTCGTGCCCGTGAAGAACGCCCATCGCGCGGGTGCGGAACGACGTCGACGACGTCAGGAGTGAGCTTAATCAGTTTCGGCGAGAGACTACCGAACACAAGCGGAGCCGCCTATCGCCATCACAACAACGCGGGCAGGGACCACGCCTCGGGCCACGCGCCTCGCGATGCGCGATCGGGCTACCTGTCGCGCGGCGTCCTGGCGGCGTCCGCGGAGCGCACGGGCACAACCTTGGTCCACGGGCACCTGACGCCATCTGGCGGGCAGGTCAGGTCCCGGTCCCGGCGTCGCGTCCCGGGGTCCCGGCGGCGTCCCGGGCCGGGCATGCCAGGACGACCGGCTGCCCGGCCCGCTGACAGGGCGAATCCTGGCACCCGCCGCACCCGCAGCACCCGTCGGCAGTGGCCGATACCGCGGACGTCGGCGGCGTGGTCCCCCCCCCCCTGCCGCCCTGGACCCCCCGCACTCCGCGCAGCTACGCGCAGCCAGTGGCGCATAGCATCCAGTGCCGGCGCGGCGCCGGGGAGGGTCGAAGTGCTTTTAGCCTGCTTACAGGCGGCTATCTGGGGGCTGAAGGGGTCGTCTGCCCTTTTGCCCCCCCCCTCCCCCCAACTGGATCCGCGCCCGCCCGCGACAACCACGTGTCGGAGGCGCCTTTCAGAAGGAAAGGGGGGGAATTTTCAAATGCGAAAAACATTTACCGGCAGTATCCTTGTCCAGAATGCTCGACAGAGCCGCCTTTCCCTGTGAAGATTAAGATTGAATCGGACACCTTCGCTTTCTTGGGGGTTCCCCTGAGCACGGCAGCATGATAAGACGGTGGTGGTGGCGAGGGTGCGACGATTTTTCCTCCCGCGACCGCCGCCGCCATTGTGGCTCGATCATGCGGCTTAGCGGCTAAGCAGCTCGTATCGCCTCACCGCCCGGTCGATGCTACTACTGACGCATTAGCGGCCCTTCACTCCGACTTGCTGCCCTCCCACGCCGCCTTTCGCCGCTCTGTCTCTCTCGCACCTGTTCGGCACGCCTCGCGAGTGCGAAAGAGACAGGGCGACGAAAACGATTCTCGGAATCAGTCGGGCGAGATTTGAATCTTGGCCGGCTTACGCACGCGGCCCGCTATCTCGGCCCGGCTATCGGCCGTCGAGTGCCCACGGGGACAAGAGTTGCAATCAAGATCCCCAATCTGAATGGGAATCGCGCGAAGCGTCGCGACGACACCCGAAAGAACGTCGCGCTTCGTGTGGGGCCAGAAGGACTTCGGACATTTTCCGGCACCGGGGGCGGACTGCGGTGAGCATCGGGTCGGGCAGAGGCTGGGACACCGCGCGCTCAGAGGCGGTTGCAGAGAGATGTTCAGGGGCGGCAAAAGTTTGCCTATTTACAGGGAAAAGTGCGACTTTTGCCTGCCCGTCAGGCGGTAGCGCCTTCCGGAGAACGGGGGGGGGGGGGGGGGGGGGGGGGCTGCGAGCGTCGGAGCTGGCGGCCGTGCGCAGGAAGGGAGGGACTTCCCCCGGGACTTCCCCGCGGACCCACAGGATTCACTGCACGACGCGACGGCGGAGGAAAAAGGGGGGGGGGGGGTGACGCTGCCGAGTCGGGCAGCCTCTGTAGCCTCTCTACACCGTGCTCTGTAGCAAGCAAATGCACCGAGAGGACCAACAACGAATCGAGTGGAGTGGGTCAGAGATTAGAGTGTGAACTGGACTGGCCATGAGCACTACAAGGTAGGTAGGTCGCAGTCAACCTTTACGAAGCGCTGACGCGCAAACCGCTGTCGTCAACAAGACTCTTACTTTCAGCTCCATAAATCATTCTGGTTGACGACTGTGTCTACGAGGAGCATCCAGTGGACTCATCCCACTACACTACGACCTGCTATTTTAAAGCGCGACGCGGCGAGTGCGATTGGAGGGAAGGCTATTTGTGCGCGTGGCGCATGCCGACACGGTTATGCGCGGACACGTCCAGGACACGTCCCGCGTCATGCGCCGCGCGGCCCCGCGGATGGCGAGGCGCGAGCGAGGCGCGAGCGAGGCGGGGTCACCGCGCACGACCCGCACCCTCGCACTGCTCGCACGCACCCTCCACGACGCGCCCGCTGTCCAGCTTCAGCGAACTGGGAGTGTCTGCTTGTCTCCCAGCTCCTGAAGGCACTGCACCTATCGTGACTCACCGCACTCACACACACACATACACGCGCGCGCGCACACACACTATGAATGCAACATCGCGCGACAGTTACCGCACTGTAACGACGCGACTTGGCGACGGCCGCGTGGCGGCGAATTGGTGGACACGATGGCCGACATTTCCTTTAAGGCCACTTATTGCCCTTGGCCGTGGCACCGTGCCGCGGCCGGCCCAGTCCCATTCGAAGGTCCACGCGAAGGCCCAGCCGCCCCGCGGCGGTCGCTGGAAGTCGCTGGCGGTCCCAGCCGGATCGACATCGGCGGCGCCATCGGCAAACCCGCATCACGAGAGCCACTTCGGGTCCACTTCACGATTCACTGTCGGACTCGTCTCCTTGCTGGGGCCGGGGTCTTCCGAAGCTCGGCGGAAATTAACACGTTCCGCGGCGAAAAGCGACCGGCCCCGGTGGTGCTCGAACCAGCGACATGACGCTCCGCAGTCCAGGTCGGAGCGCGCTCGGCCGTTGACGTACCCATCCCACCAGGAGCGTACGTAGCCGATGATGTCCTCCAACATGACCCCGCAGACGACAGGGCCGAAGAGGAGGGCAGTGAACCAGGCGGTGCGGCACGGGGAGGACGGCGGCCTTGGCGGCGGCGCGGGGGGCCCGGGCCGGGGCGTCGGGGACGGCGTCGAGGACGGCGTCGACGCGGGGCTCGGGGGCGGCCTGGTTCGGCGGGCGGAGCGACGCGGCGTGCTTGTCTTCGGGGAGGCGGCGGCGCCACTGGCTGCGCCACTGGCTGCGCCACTGGTTGCGGCCGGGGCAGCCATCACTCGATTTGGCAAATCAAGACGGCACGGAGACAGACCGACGGGACGGGGCACGACGGGGCACGACCCTGGCCGGCACTGCAGCACGCACGGCCAACCGAAACAATGACCTGAACGTTTGTAAACTCGCGGCGAAGCGGCGACGCGGCGCCCCGACAGCGACGACACGACGTGCTGAGCGCGGCGAATTTTTACCGCGCCGCGTGCCGCCAAAGTGCGTCCGCGTGGCCTAGGCACCACGCCGGCGACCCCGACGCCGAGGGTGCTGACCTCCACGCCGCGGACCCGGGGGTTGTCCGAGGCCCGGCGCCGCGGGGTGTCGTCAGAGCGGACGGGCGCATGGTAAGCTGAGACCACCCGCAGCAGTGGGGCACGGAACACGGGGCTCAGCTTGCGGCGGACGGACTGTACCTGGTGCAGGCGAAGCAAGGCTGGACTTGCGCACGTCAGCACGCCCGCACCGCCCCCCTCGCGCCCACTCGCACCTCGGAGCAGCGCGACGCACAGTGGGCCAGAAGACCGGTGGAGGCGGTCAGAATCCCGGAGGCGTTTTGAGCTCCAGTGTCGCTAAATGGGACTCGAACCGAACGTGTGACCCCACCAATAGATTGCTCTCCGAACGAGGAATCCATTGGTAGGGTCACACGCTCGGTTCGAGTCCTATTTAGCGACTCTGGAGCTCAAAACGCGTCCAGAGTTTTGGCCACCGGCGTCTGTCTGGCCCACTGAGCGCCGTGGCGGCGGACAGCGAATAGACAAACCTCCACGGATCCACGGACACCAAGGAGGGTGTCCGACGGCGGCCAGGACGTCATATCTCCGCCGCGGGGCACCAAAGATAGCGACATTTTTCGGCAGATCAACAAGGGGCCGAAACGCTTCGCAGTAACGAGATAGGAAGCCACTCAGACGCGGCGGTCGAGTGGGTTGCCTGCTTATCGGGCGCAAGTGGCGACGTGACCGGGCGTGACCGTGTAGGTTGGGTTGCCAGGCATGCCTAGGCGAGGCGCACCCGGGCCCGCCGGCCAGCCACTCAGTGAGTCTAGTCGACGGATTGATTGAGAAGGGGGCTTCATTCTTGGAAGAGTGTCGAGGAACGCGGTCTCCAATAGGGTCACCAACACAGCCAAGTTCACTGCGACCCGCAGTCCACTCCACCTACATCGTCCTCTTAGATTCCTTAAAATTCCCTTTTAGTATCAGGAAAAATTAACATCCCCAAAATGCGGAAAAACGGTACGATTTATGCGATGCGAGGACGTCCGTCCTATTTGGTCGTTTCTTTCGCCGACGCAAGGGTGCTGGCTGTGCGTGGCCCGCCGCGTCGGGAAGCGGAACAGGCACTCTCTTTGTCAGGGCTTTGTGTGCTACACGAGGTGCTACACGAGGTGCTGCAGATAGACGGAGATAGAGCACGCGCGACGGCAGAGGCGGCGCAGGGCGCGAGTGAGAAAAGAGCTGCGACGCGTTATCGTCCGCCTGATAGCAACATAAATGTAACAAAACCGGCTCATCCGGGGCTCAACCCTACGGCCGGGCTTAGCGGCATACTATGACGCCGCGGCCGGCTAGCACGTCTGGCCTGGAGTGGACTGTTGCCAGGCATGGGTGCCGACAGCACGAGTACTTGAGCACGATTAGGCAGTGTAGCGGAAACAAAGTTTCCTCCAAACATTCCAACAACAGCATGCAGTAGCTGCTTGCCCCTGATTGAAACACACTATTTATGAAATGAACAATGGGACAGGTTGTTTGTTGGTCTTTCGCGCGGGCGGGAAAGGTTCTTACATTCTCAAAATGCCACTCTAGAGCGCTACACTTGCAGGCCAACTGCTTGCTGGCTGACCACGGAATTGGCTCGTCCTGTCTGGTTCAAGTTCCGTCTTGTGCACTCTTTGGCTGCTTTAGCGCCTTTGGGGTAGGCCAACACGAGTACAGCGACACACCGGCGTGCAGACGGTGGCCTACCTGGCGCCTGTGAAGATGGAGGTAGGCCCCCGTCTTCTCACCGGTGTGTAGCGGGCTGGACCGGAGGCCTACCTCACAGGCGCTTAAGGCCACAGGCCGCAAGCCAGCGATGCTTCCAAACACACGACTCAACGCTAAGGCCAAAAATATGGATGCCGTTCCTCTTTATGGGGGGGGGATTCCTGGCGAGTTTCAAGCCAAACTTCCCCGAAGGCCGGAGACTCTTGCAGGGCGGAACTGTTCTCAAGGAATGGCGGTACGTCTGATCCGGGCTCTACTGATACGATCAAAGTCACAGTCACTATCATGACAAAATAATCCTATCAGATTGGACCTAAAAAGCGCATATAATGAGGGCTTGGCTTACTCAAAGGAAATAGTACTATTTTAGAGGAAGGAGGCGCGTTGCCCCGAGCAGTCTTTGAAATTAATCTTGGTAGGAAAAGAGAAGCTACGTTTTCCTGTTTTTTATCCGAAGGTTTATCCTTTTTCACACGCCTTAGCTGTGGAAAACCCAGGTATTCGGTTAAAGCCCGACTAACTGCAACCCCATTCGGCTGCCCGGACCCGAGGGGCTGCCGATTCACGCCCAGCAGAAGTAGCCACGGGGCGCCCTTACGCCCTCCAACAGTCAAATGAGTCCAACGTGTTCAACGCTCTCAACTCGCAGGCAAACGAGGAGAGAGAAAGTTTCGATTGGTTGAAATCCACCCCGAGAGCGTTGGCCTTCCCTTCCCCGGTCCCTATCGGCAGCCCGCGTTGGCCTGGAGAGCACCCTGGCGCCACGCGCCCAGGGCCCATGGCCCCGGGCCTCCCCACCTTGCATTTCACCCGACACCAACCTGAGATACATTTCGGCAACTTGTTCCAATCTTCTTCTCCCGCCTCAGCACCGTCGACCTCCTCCCTTTAGTGCCGTGTGCAAAGAGACAGCTCCCTCTCCCCACTGCTTTTCTTATACCCCGATCTTTGGCAGTATCAGTCGATAAGGCCGCCGTCGTCGCGGCAGGTGCTCGTCTACGCGCTGCCCGTCCCGTGCCGTCCCGCCGCGAGCCGAAGCCGAGGCCCGGCCAAGCTGTTGCCGGGCTCCCCGAAGTCCCCCCAGCTTCAGCACGGATCACCTGACTCGCCTAGCGTTGCACCCGGTTGCGCCGCGTTGCACCACAGCTCTCGTTCCGAAGGGGTGCTGACTAACCGCGTGATTTCAAATCGGCGCGCACTTGAAATCGTCGCGAGAAGTTTCTGAAACTTGGTTTCCGGATGTCGTGGACACCGGGCACGTCCCCGCGGACGGGACTGCACCCGTGTGACCTCAGCACTCCATGTCAAAGGGGGCTGTAACGCGGTCGGGCGCGAGTCGAACTTCGCGGCGCGTTGTTCACGTCGCGGAGCATCGGTCAGCTCCCCGTTAAAGTTTGAGCAAAAAGTGCGCTCGCCGAAGGAACCACGCAGCTGAAGCGGCAGCGTCGCGACCGTAGTTTATTTTATCGTTTTACAGTGGAGTCGTAAACCGGCACGGCAAAGGCACGCATCCTGCCTCAAGCTCACGACCTACCGTCGCAAAATTTAATCTCTCTCTTCAGATTTAAAATTCGATGAATTGAAAGGGAAAAATTGGAGCCAACTCCTGCTGCTTAGACTGAAAATCCTTTGCACATTACTTTACTATCTATCCTCATATCTAAGCAACTAATGGCCAGAATTGAAAAAAAATAATGAAAGAGTGCCAGATCCAATTTCAGCAAAATTACTTTATTCATGGGAGAATTGACACAAAGGAATTTGACACTTCAGGTACACGAAACAAAAAAAAAATGAGATGATATGTTACCCATTTTTTTTGGCGGTTATCGCATTAAATGCAATCTACAAAACTAGATCACATGCAAATTGAAACACTTGTCACAGTTGTTTGATTGTAAAATTTAATTTTTATTGACCTAAGGTAGAAAGTGGCTGTACTCATGAAAAAATGAGCTTTTTCTGATGCCATCCCAAACTTTTGATGCGTAAAGTAACCTGTATCAAAGAAAACCCATGATAATTGTTTTAAAATTAACTTGCAAAATGTAACCAAGACTAAGCAGAACTAACCAATTTTTTTCAGAGAGTGGATGGTGTGTGAGGGGTCTTTTTGCTACACCCAAAATGTGCTGCCTCATCTTCAGGAGCAAATCACTAAACCCTGGGTGACCACAGTACTTATGAGGAACTTCTTCATCTGCGAAATATGGTTAAAAGTAAACAATCACCAAAGTCCAAATAAAAAGTGTTTTTCCTCTTGAAAAATTATTACACACTCACCTGTGTCTGGTAATAAGAATAAATTTATTGGTTCCCCACATGCCTCGGTGTCTACAAAGTCTATAATACCACCCATTCCAACACCTACTCCGCTTTTTATATCCAGTTTAGATTTTATGAAAGAGTCTCTGTAAACAGACTGGAAACAAAACACAATATTGATATTAGTATCTCTGCTGAAAAATAACTGTCCAACTTTTCAGGAAAAGACAACTTGCCTGCATCATTTTGATGTGGTCAGGAGTGAACTCGGATGGTTTACATTGATTGTGGAGAAGAAACAGATGTGGGAAATACTCCACTAAAGTTTCATCCGCAGCCGTTGTTGGTGTGGGCGGTTTCAACATTTCAGCAGACTGTATTAATCTGTAACCATAAAATAATTGTGAAATAGATTTTTCAAATTGAAATAACTGGGCCTATTTTATTATCAAAAATCTTACCTTATCATATCAGGGTCAAAGAACCAATCTTGAACCAATATAACAACATGGCAAACGGAAAGTACAAAGGCAGCCATTTGCAAAGAATGTATTTCTAATGCTCCATCCATATTAGTCAGTAAACCTACATCGCCAATACTTGGACCAGAACTGGATGATGGGGCAGATGAACCAGGATACTTTTTGGTGCTAGGAACAGAAGAGCTAGATGATCCATCTAAATCAGAAATCCTTTCAAATACGGATGCCGACATCAAAGGCTGTGTGTCAAGCAGGAGCATTCGATTTGTTGTGACATAGAGATCCACTCCGGATGTGCAGTGAGTTGCATTTATTGCTTGCTCATAATCTTGAGGCTTAAAGCACATGTCTCTGTAAACCCAGTTTTTCAGAATTATTAAAAAAATAAGAACAACAAAAATAAAAATTAACTGGATGAAAGCAATCTTACCTAAGTGGTTGAGCAGGATTCCCTGATGCTAAAAGAGACAAAACTGTTGATTTACCAACTGATTGCTGGCCTAAAATCCCAACAACTAAGAAATCATTTTGATCCATGAAGGAATCAGTAGGTACATCACAAAACTGCATTGTTTCATCTATAAGCTTCACACTAGATTTCATTTTTGGAGACGGAGCTAAAGGGTTAGCAACTGAAACATAAACAACAAGTTCACCTAAGTATCATGGTGTCACAGAGAATGTATTTGACCACTTTTCTGGCAAAAATAGTAACAAACCTTGGGGAGCGGCACTGGCTTTGTAAGCTAGCTGGTATGACGGTTGCGCAGGTGAATCAGAAGTTTCTTTTCTGCAAAGATAGTATGAAGTATTAGCGTCTCTTAATTCACGCCAAATAGAGAAGAATTATAGTCTGTTACTCGATGTAATACACTTACTTCAATACTATGGGTGTTCTTGTTTGACTAGGAGAAACTGCTCGGTTTTCACCTTCCCTCGTTCGAAGTATGATTGTGGGAGGTTTTTCAAGAGTATCGTGATCGTTTTTGACAAGTAGCACTGGCGGCCTGCGACCAATTGCCCCTTCATCCTGCTAGAGAAAAAAAGGTGAAGAATGAGTGACGGGTTAGAGCAAGAGCAAACTCGCAAACCTTGAATTGAGAGAAACAACACAGCAAATGCGAAAAGACCAAATGTAACAACGATCTTAAAATAAATTGACGAAACTTTAAGAGGATACATCAAAGTTGGATTTATTTAAGGATTCAAAACAGAGAAGAAAAGGGAGACAACAGATAATGGTAATAAATAGTTTGCATGTGCCACAAAGCCTCCTTCTCACCTTCATTATTTTTCTATCACCCATTCTCAATAGAACCTAGCACTCTGAATAAAATAATTTACTGAGTCACTGTCTGTGTTGCCTTTTACACAACAATTTCACAAAAACAAATTAATTAACACGAGCATTGCAGTAAGGTTATGATGTGTGCCATTTAGAAGCAGAAGACCGGCACAAAAACAATCCTTCAGTATGAGAAATTCAGTTCAGCAACCCTGGCGATACTCCCTGTGGACAGAGAACTCACGCAGTCTGTCCATACTCCCCGTCTGCAGCGACTTGGAGTCCCACCTTCGAACGCTACTTAACTTCTCGCAGTTCTCGCCCCGGCATCAGAAAAATTATGATGCAACTATATGTTTTTCTTCAGAATTTGGAAATTTAGTAAATTTTGGATGTGGTCAATATATTAGATCAAAGCTTTGCAGCATGTAAGGTGGTCTTTGGATGAATTTTCGTCCTAGTCCGTCCTCGAAATTATTAGGATCTTTTTTTAAACAAAAACACGAGGCGAGTGTGATGCACTGCTCTACTTGGATACCTTTGTAAAACATAGCTTGCTAAAACTGGCCAATATTGGAATGTCATGACATTGGCCAATTTTAGCAAGCTATGTTTGACGTGGGCGGACGTTCATTGAAAGGACACCTTCGGAATGAATTACAAAACAAGAAAAATGACAAAAAAAGAACCAAGAATAAAATGCAACAAAAACAAAAAGTGGCGCGTTTTAAGGTGCTCCAAGGTGCTCCGCAGGGCCGCGCGGGGCGGGATGCTCGCGGTGTGGGGCTGGCCGCCGAGGCCCCGCGACCCTTGCGATGCAAAGGCCGTGAGTTAGTTCTGAATTGTAAAGAGGTTCTGCAGGGAGGAAGGGGTGGGGGAGGGGTGCATCCGCTCCAGATCCGGTCGGGGGAGAGGAGGGGAGGGGCGCGCCAAGGAAGGGGAAGCCCGACGCCCCCGCCGACCGCGCCGCTGTAATTTGTCATATCGCGCCAGAAGTACTTCCTCTCCTCGCCCGGCGTCCCCGCCCCGCCCCGCCCCGCCCCGCCCCGCCCCGCCCCGGGGGCGTCGAGGGTAGAGTCGTAGAGTCCGTCCGCGGGGCCCCGCGCCGCCGCGCCCCCGCGCCTCGCCAAGTGCTCCACAGTGCTCCGTACACCTTGTACTTTGCACCCCGGCTGGCCGGCCGGCTCGAAACAAAAGGCTCCGTCCCTCCAGTTTTATTGTTTGTTATTGAACTCCCCCGGCGGCGGCCCGGTCGCCGCGCCGCAGCACCATGCAAATCCCCTTGCTTAACGCGATCTGATCCGCGCGGAGTAAAAGTATCTGCCGTTCCGCCGACACGCCGCCGACCGACCACCACTCGCGAACCGTTCCCGCGGCGGCCAGCAGCGGTCGGCAGAGATCTGCGCATTATTATCCGGCAGCCCCTTGGAAAGGGGAGGGGGGAGGGGGGGGGGGAGTTTAGCCGATGACGCATGCTTCATTAGACGCCTATTCAATTACGCTGCTGATTGTTGGCGCGCACAATGGCCGTCATGGACTGCTCGGCCCCCACGGCCCTCATGGCCTCCATGGCCTCCATGGCCACACGGCCTGCATGGCCCGCGGACAATTAGACCAGCAGCGCCAACATCTCACGGACTTATTTTTATATTTTTCCCAGTTTCCTCCCCCCGCCCCACCTTCCCCCGACGACTCTTGATGATTGCCCCGAGGTGTATGCTCTCCTGTCGATGGGTTAGCGATAGAAGGGCGTGGTCGGCTCGACTCCCCGCGCGGCCCTCCGGCCCGCCCCGCCCACTGCCGCCCGTTACACTTTTTACACTGCACCGAGAAACTCGCCGCTACTATGAAAACAGCGGCGTGCGGTCCGCGGTGTCGCGAAGATGCGCGAAGCACCGCGTTTGTGGTGTGGTGGCACGGGGAAGCGTGTGTGTGTGTGTACGGTCTAGTTCGCAGGCCGCGGGGTGGAGGGGGCGGGGGGCTGGAGGCGGCTGGAGGCTCCAGGGCGCAACGAGAGTTAGTTAACGGCTTTTCGGCCGCACCAGCAGTTTGAGAGCGCGCTGGTCTGCGCCGAGCTGCCGTGCTGCACGGCGACCCCTTCAACCCCAGCACAGGCCCCTTCCCCCGGCCTCGGCCCCACCTCGGGCCCCACGGCCATGCCACGGCCTCGGCCAGATAGATGGATAGATAGATCCACCCGAAAACCACTGAGCCAATTATGATTCGCCAATCGGATTCCTATCGCCGCGGCCCCGCAGGCCTCGCGGCCGGCCTCGGCCAGCACACTGTGAGTCGTGCTCGACGCTCTGTCTCTGTCGCACCTAGGGGACGCCCCCTGAGTGCGAGAGAGACGGAAAGGACTCGGCCGTCAGGGCGTTATCTCGCCGGCCCGCCATCGGGACGATCGGGACGACCGCCAGGTGCCAGAGCCATCCTCCTCGTGGAGTGAATTCTCGGAAAAGGAGAAACTTGGCTTTCTCTTCTTATCTCCCCCAATTATTGCGACGTCAGTTTGGCCCCCATCGCGGAGGTTCTCCGCGCGGTAAACGAGCGGGGAAGCGAAATGGCCCCGCCAAGAATCCTCTTCCCCCGGGAACGGCACGGAGCAGACCGCACGGCGCCGCACGGCACCGCACGGCGGCGGGGCTCCTGCAAGACGGACGACGTTCCTTTTATGATTCGCCCCAGATTGACTCCTGGTCACTTCTCTCTTCTCCTCTCTCCTTTGGCGGGACGTTTTTTCCTCCTTTCAGGCGCGTTTTCTTGACCTCCCTGCCTCACCCCACCCCACCACACCCCACCCCACCCCGCCCCACCGCGGTACTCAAAATGATGGAGCCCCGAACGGGCCATACTAGACGGCACACGGTGCGACCGCGCGGCGGCGCCCCGCCCCGCTAGCCCTCCCAGTGCCACCCATTGGCATATTGGATGGGCTGCTAGCGACGCCACTGCCTAGCGCTGCCTCGAGGCTCGCCTGTCGTCTCTCATGTCTGTGATGTGCGTCGCGGCGTCGCGGTCGCTTCGTCTCGGCAATAAACTTCCCACCAAGGCGATCGTCACTTGCGCGTCTGTCTGTCTGTCTGTCTGTCTGTCTGTCTGTCTGTCTGTCTGTCTGTCTGTCTGTCTGTCTGTCTCCTGGTGATGATGGAATTAAGGTATCACACCTAAGTGACAATGTCGAACTAGTTGCTCCAATATTACAAAACATAATCAATAACTCAATAAAAAAAGGAATTTTCTGCGATGAAATCAAAATTGCCACAATCAGGCCTATTTATAAAGCTGGATCACCCCGTGAATATAGTAATTATAGACCAGTCTCCATTTTATCAACTATAAGCAAGGCAATTGAGCTGTATATGTATACACATTTATTCTCATACCTCAAAAAGTACAAAGTGATTGATGAACACCAATATGCCTATCAGAAGGGAAAGAGTACCATTGATCTGTTACAAAATTTCTCTGACATAGTAAATGAGTCCTTGGACAAAGGTATGCATGTTGTTGTAATGTTTGTGGATTTGTCTAAGGCTTTTGATTCCATTAGTCATGAAAAATTATTGAAAAGCTTAGAAAATATTGGTGTGAGAGGAGGAGCGTACAAACTGTTTAAAAGTTATCTGGAAAACAGAATGTGTAAGGTAAGTGTGGCAGGAGTTGATAGCTGCTGTGTAAAACTTAAGTATGGTGTACCACAAGGCAGTTTTCTTGGTCCCCTGCTGTACTTGATTTATATAAACGATCTAAAACGGTGTTTTAAAAAATGTAAATATTTTGTGTATGCAGATGATACTGTGATAATCTCTGTGCACAAAAACTTAGATATAGCTGAGGCAAGACTGCAGGAGGAGTTTACTGAGTACCAAAATGGTGTCATGATAAGAATCTCATAATGAATGGAACAAAGACTAAAGTAATGCATATATCCACTCCTTATATTGCAAGAAGAGATCTTAACTTAAGATTTCATTCTATTGAGTGTATACACAGTAATATTGTAAATTGCACCTGCAAAATGAATATTGAAATGGTGGAGTCGGTGAAGTATTTAGGGTTGATAGTTGATAAACATCTAAACTGGAAAAGCCATGTTAAAATGCTAAGAGGGAAGTTGAGGTGTTGCCTGTATAAATTATCACAATTAAGTAACTGCTCCCCACATAACATAGTAAACATGGCTTATACAGCCCTCTTTGAATCAGTCATGAGTTATGGGCTTGAAGTGTGGGGATCTGCCTCGGATACAAACCTGCTCCCCATTAAATCATTACAGCAGAGAGCTGTAAAGATTGTGAAGAAAAAGCAAAGAGTTCCATTACCAAATAATATTTTAACATTAGAAAATTTGTACAAATTAAAAATTTTAAAAAGAAATTATTTTAAGAAAGATTTTAGAAATATAGCGCAACATAGGTACTTAACGAGAAATGAGAGTTTCCAATATAAGATAGGTATGAATAAGTATGGTGATAGACTGACAGAGGTGGTCGTGCCAAAAATACTAAATAAGATGCCAGTAGATTTAAGGAATATACAAAGTCAAAGTGCCATGAAAACAAAATTAAAACAATATTTTTTAAGTGCAAACAATTGAAAAATCTAAATAACAAAAAAAGGTGGAGTTTAAGTTGTAAAAGATTTTTTTGTTTGTAAAAGATTTTTGTTTGTTTGTTTTTATTGATTGTTATGACAGAAAGACAGCAAATCCACCCCTGACAAGCAGTCATGCTTAGGGGTTGTCTTTTTCTAGTTTTAGGCAGTTTATGATTACTATGTTAATGTTTCTATCTGTAAGTGCCTTGTTTAAGTTTTTCTTAATAAAATACGAATTGAATTGAATTGAATTGAATTGTCTGTCTGTCTGTCTGTCTGTCTGTCTGTCTGTCTGTCTGTCTGTCTGTCTGTCTGTCTGTCTGTCTGTCTGTCTGTCTGTCTGTCTGTCTGTCTGTCTGTCCGTCCGTCCGGCCGGCCGGCCAGCTGGCCGCGCGCTCAGACACAAGTGGAGGCAGCTGGGCGCGAGGCAGGCCGGCACCCGGGGCGTGGAAGTTTCCGCCGGGCGACACGGACCAGCCACAAACAATATCAACTTGGCCGACGGGCAAGAGTCGGCGTCGGCTGAGTCGATATTGTTTCCGAAACGGCAGACGATCAGCGTGGCTCAGCCTCGTCAGTTTAAGTTCACGACGGGCAGGAGGACGGCGGGCACGGCAAGCGCCTGCGAGGTAGGCAACGGTGCGACACGCGTGTGCGGCGGGAGAGTACAGCCGCGCTCCGCAGGCGCTCGGTGGAGAGCAGCAACCAGGTGGAGAGCGGCGGAGCGGAGCCCCTGGCAGTGTCGGCAGTGTAGGCTCCACAGAAACTCCAACTCCGAAAGTGGAAGCATCACTCTGCACAACGCGTTGAGCATTGTCACATCTCCGTGCTGCGCGGGGCAAGTCCGTCGCCAGACAGCGAGCCAGGCGGGCAGCCAGGCAGCCAGGCCTGCCCCAAGCGGGGCGGCAGTGCTGGGGGCGGGGGCGTTTCGCCGGCCGGCTTGTCTGCGGTGGGGTGGCGGGGGGCGGTGGGGGTGGAGGGGGTGGCGGCCCGCCGGCGGCACGTGCCCGCTTGCCCGCTCCAGACGGGCGTCGCGACGCCGCCGCGCGTCAGACAGCGCCGCTCCGCCGCGCGCGCTGGTCGGCTGCTCGGCTGAGGCAGGCGCCAGGCACGCCAGGCACGCCCCGGGGCCCCGCACACGACGAGAGCACGCTCGCGCCGCGGCGCCGCGATCCCCGAGCACGCCCCGCGGGCCCACCCCACAAACACCACCACACTGCAAACGGGATGGCGCCGCGCCACCGCCGCCGAGGCGCCTGACTCGGTCTCGGTCCAGCTGACTCCCAGTGTCGTGGGTGTCGGCCTGATGACGAGGCGGTAGTGGTCCGCCACGAAGGGGCCTAGCCAGCGACGCCACCGCAAGCAGTGTCTAGCAGTGTCTAGGCGAGGCTGTCGGCCGCCCCACACTGTGCAGCGGGCCTGGAGGCGGACTAGCAACCAAGAGTGACTTCTTCGACGCTCTTCCTCGCCGTGTTGTGCCGGGATTCTACTCACAACACAAACGATAAAACACCGAATCAGCTTGAAAAAAGTGAACGCCTCTCAACTGTCGTCCTGGCCGTCATCGCACGGCGACGTCAAGACATTTCCTTGCCCGTTCCAGAACAAAATGTTCGCCGCCAGGATTACTCTTCAGGCTCTCCTCCCAGCGGCACGTAAGTATTTTTGTTTTTCAAAAAGTGTGAATGGCCGATAGGATCTTTAAAGGGTTCCATCCACGTAACGTAACATCTTCTGTCCCTACCGCACCAACTGGTAGTCCATAAGGACAGACCTATGAAAAGTGTTACGTAATAAGTGAACGACCCTTAGCTGAGACAGAATCAGCGTGCAAACTCTTGGAATTTCACGCTTTCAAAGAGCAGACAGCTCGAAGGTTCGTTCCACCTGGTGGCCTGGTCCCGTCTGGCCCACAGAAGCGCCGCGCACTGAGGAGGGTTTGCCCAGTCGGCAGTCCCACTTCCGGCACCGCCTACCCTCCAGCTGCCCAGGCCTAGAATGCAGGCCTCAGACCGTCGGTGTGCAAGACTGCCCCCGGCAACCCCCAAAACGGCCAACGTACGAGGGAGGCCTCCTTTCCTTGAGTGCCACGTAAAGTTTGGGATCCACAGTCAGACGCCTGGAAAGGCGAGACTCACGGGCGCCCCTGATAAACGCGTCGGTGTTTCTCTGCCCCGCCGGCTTTGCCCGCGTCCAAGTTCCGAATCCGCGTCCCGCACCTGTGTCCTTCGCGTCGGCCGCGCCCCCCGCGGCAGACTGCGGTACTGCAACGCGTTCAAGTCACCGGGGGGGCCGCCCACGCCGTGCCCCGCAGCAGCCTCATCCTGACAGTCGTCACCGTCACCCTGTCTCTCACGGGGCGTTCCGTGGGGGCGTGCGCGCGAGAGAGAGACACAGAGCGACGACAACGGCTCTCGGAGTCAGTCCGCAGAAACGCGCTCCCCGCGACCGAAGCTCGTCGTAACCCCCCGCGCCCCCTGAGTACGGACTCGCTTTTTACTCTGTTTTCAAAACCGTGTCGGAGGAAAGGCTGCGGAGCGCAGCTTCGCGCCTGGACCGCGCCTCGCCCCGCCGCGCCACGCCCTGCCACGCCCCGCCCCGCCCCCGGATGCGCTAGTTTCAAATAATCCCATTAGTCAATATCGCCGCCAGCTGCGTTTGTTTATGCAAGGAGCGCCGCGCTGCCGCTCGGCCGCTCGGCGTGGGTTGAGCAGATCATGGACAGGAGCCGGAGGGAGAGGAGGTGGAGGGGAAGGGGGAGGTTCGCTGTAAAATGAAGAAAACACTGGGAACCCTCACACCGGAAATAAATAGATGATTAGAAGTTGAATGAGTGTCACGGCGCTCCGATGATGTCGGTTAACGCATCTGCAGCGGTCTCTCTCTCTCTGTCTCTCTCTCTGTCTCTCTCTCTCTGTCTCTCTCTCTCTCTCTCTCTCTCTCTCTCTCTCTCTCTCTCTCTCTCTCTCTCTCTCTCTCTCTCTCTCTCTCTCTCTCTCTCATTCTCTGGTCCGCGGCATGCCGGCCGCCACACAGTGGGCCAGAAGACCGGTGGAGGCGACGAAAACTCTAGAAGCGTTTTGAGCTCCAGAGTCGCTAAACAGGACTCAAACCAAACGTGTGACCCCACCAATGGACTGCTCTCCGAACGAGGAATCCATTGGTGGGGTCACACGCTCGGTTCGAGTCCTGTTTGGCGACTCTGGAGCTCAAAACGCTTCTAGAGTTTTGGCCGCCTCCACCGGTCTTCTGGCCCACTGTGCGCCATATGTTCTCAGAAGCTTAAGCCTTTTTTTCTGTCGTCTTTTTATCTCGTCGGCGTGACGACACACACTCACACAAATGCTCGACGTGCCGTTTCTTCCGCAAACACGCGTTTTTCGATCTGCGGCGGAGAAATGGGTGATGGGGCTGGCGTGGCGTGGCGGGGCGCGGCGGGGCGCGGCGGGGCGTGGCGGGGCGTGGCGGGGCGTGGCGGGGCGTGGCGGGGCGCGGCGGGGCGTGGCTCGGTGCTCCATCCCCACGCGAGGGCGGCCAGGGCGGCCCGCGTCGCGTGGCGGAATAAGCTTCCGTGTGTGGGCGACGCCGGGCGACGCCGGGCGATGCCCCGCGATGCCTGCCGCAAACCAATCACACCTCCACTGCGGCGAAAGGGTCCCGCTTGTTTGGAAAAGCGCGGCGGCGGCGACCGGCGGACAGGTTGCCCCACAAACGCCCCGCGACAGTTAATCATTTTGTTCCCCTCTTTCTCTCTTGAATTTTCTTTATTCATTTCCTAAATGTTGTATTCATTTCCCTTCCCCATTTGTGTGCGTACGTGTGTGCGTACGTGTGTGTGTGTGTGTGTGTGTGTGTGTGTGATGCGGCGGCACTTTCCATACGAGGCGTTGCGGTTGGCGCTCCGTGGATGGATGAATGAAAATCGCGGCGGATGTGTGTTTTCTTCTGGATTTCTGGCGCGGGCAGCTAGTGGCGCGGCGTCACGCGACCACGGCGGCCTCGACGCGAGCGAGCGTCCGTTGCGAGGCGTGCCGGGTCGGGATGCGGCAAGGCTGGAGAGAGAGAGAGAGAGAGAGAGAGAGAGAGAGAGAGAGAGAGAGAGAGAGAGAGAGAGAGAGACAGATGCCGGGGCGTGCCGGGGGATGCCGCAAGGGAGGGAGAGAGACAGATGCGTGTGAAGGGAAGCCAGTGCAGAGGAGCCTTGTCCCTATCGACAGGCCCCGCCTCCCACAGGGCGCCGCGATACAGCAGCGGAACAAAATCACTTGGGCATCGCGTTATTGGCTCACGCGAGCTCACTTCTTGTCTTCTTCTTCTTCTTCTTCTTCTTCTTCTTCTTCTTCTTCTTCTTCTTCTTCTTCTTCTTCTTCTTCTTCTTCTTCTTCTTCTTCTTCTTCTTCTTCTTCTTCTCTTTCTTCTTCTCTTCTTCTTCTTTCTTCTTCTTCTTCTTTCTTCTTCTTCTTCTTCTTCTTCTTCTTCTTCTTCTTCGTTGTTGTTGTTGTTGTTGTTGTTGTTGTTGTTGTTGTTGTCGTCGTCGTCGTCGTCGTCGTCGTCGTCGTCGTCTATGTCCGCTCCAGTTGTACATACTGATTTTCAAAGTGACTTCGTCGTGATGCTTCTTGGCGGTGTACCGTGTGAAACCGAGAGCACAGGGCCAACCAGGCAGGGCGGCGGGATTGCAAACAACAGAAAAAGGTGCGCGAGAGAGGGAGGCAACGCAGAAAGAGAGAGAGAGCGCGGCTCGAAACAAATGTACTTATGTAAACTACCAACTTTGCTAAGCCTCGAGAGTGGCAAATAAAGTGAAATGAGAATGATCTCCTGGAAAATAAATAAAAATAATGCGAAAAGCAAGAAAAATGGGATTCGGCCCGCACCGCGGCCCTTGGAGGAGTGAACTAATATAAGAAGGATAAAGGTGGGCGGAAAGCCGGAGAGGTCGGGGCGGGGCGGGGCGGGGTAAACCGTATCCGGTACGCGAAACAATGAGAAACTTCCAGACAGAGCGGCGGGGTGCGCATCCCAGTATGTAAAGCCCGAGCTGAGGAATTACAATGTCATTCTTTCCGTAAGACGATCCCCCCCCCCCGCCTTTCCCCCCCGTAACCTTCTTCCTCTTCCAGCATCTCTCATCTCCTAGGAGCGGCCTCCCGCGAGACGAGATGCGAGCGGCCGGACGAGATCAACTCTGTGATTTGGAAAAGGAATTGTGTGTGTCTGTGTCTGTGTGTCTGTGTGTGTGTCGGGGGATGCGCCAGCAGCTGAGATGTGCCCCAGCGGCTTTCCCCCCACCCCCAGCCCACGCCGCGTTGTTTTTTGTCTCCAGACGAGGATTTAAGTTTGCTGATGTTTCTGATGCATCGCCGCACCGTTCGCAGAGCAGCAAGGCGAAAGCAAGCGGAAGCTGCGCATGCCGTCACTGCACTGTAAGTGTCTTACGGTGAAAGGCTGCACCAACATATTATGGTGGTGATTTTCTCCATAATACGAAAAAAGTTCGTCGAAATATCTGGAAGGTATACAATGAATTTCGAACTGTAAGTTACGAAGTCAGCTGCACCACCATAATTTGGAGAATCTTCACCATAAGACTTTTCAGAGTGTGCCGCCCCTTCAACTCGTTTTGCTGTGTGTGTGTGTGTGTGTTTTTTTTGTGTGGGTTTGTTTGTGTGTGTGTGTGTGTGTGTGTGTTTAGTTTTTTTTTTTGGGGGGGGGGGGGGGCGCAGGAAGTGTTGATTCGCTGTGACTAGACAACGGCCAGCGCTCTGCCAGGAGGGACGCTGGTCCTATCTCCGGCAAGCGATTGCGCTTTCGGTCCGCCGCGCTTGCTCCGCTTGCCCCGCTAACCAGACCCTCTTCTTCTCTGCTTTCCAGTTTTTGCCGTGGCCGTGGGCGTGAGCTGGGAGGAATGGTGGACCTACGACGGCATTTCGGGTGAGTGGCGGTGGTCGCACTAGCAGCGTGTTTTTGCACTACTTTTCCCCGCGGACCTGGCGCCGTGCCGTGTGATTACGGTTAACGCGAAACACGTGAACGTGAATGTGAATGTGACGTGAGGAGCGCCAAAGCCGGCCAAATTGCCGTCATTACTGAGCCGTATGCAACACCACGGCGGCCGACTCTATTTACAGGCCTCGGCACTGCACTGCAAAGCAAGGCGCGCCACGGCACGCCACGCCACGGCACGCCACGCAACGGCACGCGACACAAGACGTACGGTCAACATTACGCGTGCGAATAAACCAGCAGTGTTCGCAGTTAGCAGTAGCGGTGCGGTTTGTGTCTTCATGTTGGCAGCGTCATTAAGCGCGCTGCTGCAGCAGGGGTGCCGGTGCCGGCGGAGGCCGCGAAGCACCCCGTCTTGGCGAAACTACTGTTACCGTCGCCGCGCCGTGGATAAACGCGCGTTACCTCCATTAGATGAAGTTCTCCTGCACCGATTCTAGTATTTTTGTGTGCGTGAGAGGAAAGCATGCATCTAGTCTCCTAGATCCTAGTGTCCACTGCAGTCTTTTTTCCTTCCCCCGCGTGGACGTAAGTCGCGAAGCTGTTGGCGGAGACTGTACTGGAAGACGGACTGGAGAGCGTGCCCGCGATGGCGAGACACTGCTAGACACTGCCCCGCACTGCCCCCTGCTCCGTCCTGCTCCCCCTCTTGGGGGTGACTAGATGACCGGACGTTGCATGCCTCCGAGACGTTTCTGGTGGCAGCGCGTCCGTCCCGGTTCGCTCGCCACGCCACGCCACGGCCACCACTACACTGCCAACGGCCGGCACGTCCAGCAATAGAGGCCGGCGCACAGTGGGCCAGAAGACCGGCGGAGGCGGTCAAAATCCCGGACGCGTTTTCAGCTCGAGCTAAGCAGGGCTCGATCCGAACGTGTGACCCCACCAGTGGATTCCTCGTTCGGAGAGCAATCCATTGGTGGGGTCACACGTTTGACTCGAGCCCTATTTAGCGACTCTGGAGCTGGAAACGCGTCCGGGACTTTGACCGCCTCGCCGGTCTTCTGGCCAGCACTAGAGGCCGGCAGGTTACTGTCGAGGACTTCCTAATCAAGCCGCGGCGCACTTTCAAACCTCGGACACCGCGCGATAAAAGGCCGTGCCGTGCCTTATCGTCGGACGGGGAGGAGAAGAAGGCCGGCAGACTGATTCCGAGAGTCGCTCTGTCTCTCTCTCACTCATGGGGCGTCCCGTAAGGGTGCGAGAGGGACAGGGCGACGGAAACGACTCTCGGAGTCAGTCCGCAGGGCGATGGTGATGCCTATCTCAGTGCCTGCGTTGTGTTAACAGGCCCCGCCTTCTGGGGGCTCATCAACCCCGAGTGGAGCCTCTGCAACCGGGGACGCCGGCAGTCGCCCGTCAACCTGGAGCCCGACAAGCTGCTGTTCGACCCTAACCTGCGCCTGCTGCACGTCGACAAGCACAGGGTAACGAGGAAACGAAAAGAAAATTCACCATAAACCACTTGAAAACAAAGGAAGTTAGTAATTTTCCTTCCGGCAGGTGAACGGCGTCCTGGTGAACACGGGCCACTCGGCCGTCTTCACGGTGGACAACACGACGCGGCGGCACGTCAACGTGACGGGCGGCCCGCTGTCCTACCTGTACCAGCTGCACGAGCTGCACCTGCACTACGGCCTGCACGACGACATGGGCTCCGAGCACACCGTCAACGGCCACGCCTTCCCCGCGGAGGTGAGTCGGGGCCTCGGTCGGGGCGCGGCGCGCAGTGGGCCAGAAGACCGGTGGAGTCAGCCAAAATCCCGGACGCGTTTCGAGCTCCACAGTCACTCAATGGGACTCGAACCGAACGTGTAACCCCACCAATGGATAGCTCTCCGAACGAGGAATCCATTGGTGGGGTCAAACGTTCGGTTCGAGTCCCATTTAGCGACTCTGGAGCTCGAAACGCGTCCCCAGCTTCCCCAAACCTGGTTCTGGACCCGCCCCTGGTTCGAGGCATGGGCATGGGCGGCAAGGCAAGGGTCTCTCTGTCTCCGTCGCACTCACGAGGCGTCCCGTTGCGGTGCGACAAGGATTCGGACTCGCTCCGCGGCGTGAAAAGAATATCGGAACCGAGAGGTTCAAGCAGAGGCACCGGCGCCGACCGTCTTCAAGGGGCGGCGGACTGAGATGTCACCTCCGTCCGGGGCAGGCTAGGCGGCTTGCCGACGGCAGCACCCCTCCGCTCGCATGGCGAGGCCAGGGCGAGGCCAGGGCGAGGCCAGGGCGAGGCCAGGGCGAGGCCAGGGCGAGGCCAGGGCGAGGCCAGGGCGAGGCCAGGGCGAGGCCAGGGCGAGGCCAGGGCGAGGCCAGGGCGAGGCTAGGGCGAGGCCAGGGCGAGGCCAGGGCGAGGCTAGGGCGAGGCCAGGGCGAGGCCAGGGCGAGGCCAGGGCGAGGCCAGGGCGAGGCCAGGGCGAGGCTAGGGCGAGGCCAGGGCGAGGCCAGGGCGAGGCTAGGGCGAGGCCAGGGCGAGGCCAGGGCGAGGCCAGGGCGAGGCCAGGGACAGACACGGCAGGCACGCGCCCCCCGGGCACACGGCCGCGCACGGCACACACCAACAGGATTCAATATGGCTCACTCACGCCCCCCGCTGGTTGCGACCGTGCCGCCGTTACGCGCCGAGGGCGGCCGAGGGGCGCCGTCCAACACGCGCTGCGTTTCTTACAGTCGTGTTTGTACGTACTGCGATCATTTTTACCGATTTTCACCATCGTCTGATACGTTGCAAGTTTGTTATACGCTGGAAACGTGTACTTGTCAACGTAAGGTACGTCTGATTTGATCGCATTACGTCATAAGGCAGTGCGATGAATTTTACTGTGACCTTGGGTCATCACTTAAACGTTTACTGCAATGATCCTTTCGTTGTAAAAAAAAAAAAAACTCGACGTGCTAGTTAACTGCGTGTGTGCACCGTGCCATGACTTTTCGTGGATTTCCCTCTCGACTACCTTTGAAATACACAAACTGTTTCCCTGCCTTCCGTTCCGAATCGTCCGGGCCAGCCGTCCACCTGTATCTGGTGGCGCGGCGTGGCGCGGCGTGGCGTTGTGGCGGCGATGGCGGTGCGGCGGCGCGGCGCCAGCTGTTATTGAAAGAAGTTCTCTCCCGGGGACCCAGATTAAAACAAATAAATATCTACGGTGCGGCCGGTGACTCGGCCCGGCGGGGGTGGCGGGGCTGGCGGGGGGGGCGGGGGTGGCGGGGGTCACCGCGTCCACGCGGCCCGCGGGGAGAGACGGCGTACGACGGGACGTTGCGAAATGGGAATCCGGAATTCGGGAATCTTTGGCGGGAAACACAGAGAGGCGATCCTTTGAAGCCCGGCCGCGCAGTGTACACAGCCCGCGACTGAAGAGTCGGCGCTCCGTCTCTCTCGCACCCTCACGGGACGCGCCACGAGTGCGAGAGAGACGGAGCGACGCCGGCCATGCTGCGCTGGATACTCAAGGGCTCTTCCGGGCACTTGGCTCTGCCGGACTCCATCTACCCGGAGGAGTGCATCTCCGGGGCCGAGGAGGGTCGGGGGAAAGGGTCGGAGGGTCAAGGGCCAGGCCGACCCTTTGCATGGGCCGCGCCGACCCGAACCCCGTGGACGACAATGCGCTGCGAGTTCGCGCTGCTCCACGCTCGCGCCGCGGCT